CCCCCAACCCTCACCTCCTTGCACCCCCAATATGTTTTTCCCAAAAAAAAAAAATTTTTAAAAAAAGAAAGAAACAGAGCTCTCATGCAAGCAACACTCTGTGGCAGATGATCAAAACTGTTTGTCACAATACAGCAAAGTCTAAACTATTCCAGTGTTCTCTTACCAGCAAGACAAGTCTTTATACAGACTTAAAACAGCCATTGAACTTTTGGCTTAAAAAGCCCAGGTGGTTTCTTTTTGTTTGTCCGAAGTTCAGGAAGAGGTGATGTCTTGGGTATGTATCTTCACTGCCTGATCTTTTAATATCAGCACTTAACTTGAACTTGCCCAGAAGCTAATTTTTTTGCAAATGTTTGGAAAACCTAAATAACTGAGGATGGGCAGTGATGGCATGGGGCAACTCCTGTGTTTTAACATTGGTTTTAAAACCCATAATATTGGGGGTTCTTACATTCTTAACACTGAACTAAACTGTTTTCCTTGATCCGTGAAGCTTCTTAGACTTGCAGGCAAAATTGTGGCTTTCTGAGTCCATAACATTTATTGGATTCTACAAAGTAAGGTGTTATGACATAAATCATTTTCAGCATTCCCAACAAGCCTGGCAGTGTAGTCAGTAGGAAGCACTGAGTCAGCTAGGAATCAGTTCCAACTTGAAGGCAATGAGATGAGTTCCTGGGTGACTGAGTCAATGGGTGATGAGGAAATGTATGAGCTTAAACTTTTGTTTCTTTGTAGAGAATAGTGACAGAGGCACAGCAAAGAAAGAAACAAAAAAGAACAGCAAGGGCAAGGAAAAGGGCTCCATGCCCAGCAGTGAGACACCACCACCTCCACTTCCACATGAAATCACTCCCCATGCTGTGGAAGAAGATGATGATTATGACTAGGGAGAAGTGACGACCGAGGAAGCTCAGAGGCACAGAATGGATGAAATCAGACCACCTAAAAGTTCTAACCGTTAGTGATGATTTGGAGCAGATTACTGAGGAATGAGGCAACATTTTGCTTAATTTTGTTAAGAAAAAGAAGGAAGAGAGGATTACTGATTCATCTGAGAAAGAGTTTGTTGCAGAAGCAGAAAGGCTGGATGTTAAAGCCATGGGCCCTCTCATTTAGACTGCAGTTCTTTTTAGTAAGAAGATCAGGGAACAAATCAAGAAAGATAGACTCTATATTTTATGATTTTGTCACAACTAAACAGCTCTGTGGTGGCTTCTTCATGGTTTAGAGTGTGTGGTAGCAATGCATCAGGTGCAGCTCCTCTCCAAGATCCCACACGTCCTGAAGGAGATGTACGACACAGACCTTCTGGAAGAGGAGGTCATCATCAGCTGGTCGGAGAAGGCTTCTAAGAAATATGTCTCAAAAGAACTTGCCAATGAGATAATTTCAAAGCAGAATAATTTACAAAATGGTTGAAAGAGGAGGCAGAGGAAGAATCTTCTGGTGGTGAAGATGAAGATGAGAATATTCAGGTGACGTATTCAAAGACTGCCAGTGGACCCAAATTAGAAGCTGTTTAGTCTGATAATAAAGATGGTAATGTTGATATTGATGCCATTTAAAGAGATGGATGCAACCAAGCTTCACCGTGTAATGCTGCGTAATTCCCCACATTATCAGCCAGAAAGTGCAACATGCATGTGCAAAAGATTCAATAGCTTAAAATCATGAAATACTTAATATTAAAAATGTCCTACTGTGAGTGGTCTGTAATTAGAGGTTCTGATGAGACATCTAAGGAGTCCTTATATGCCTGTGAGCAGATGTAGTTTGATTATTTATAGCCAGTTTCTTTCTGAAAACCTAGTGGTAGACACACTGGATCATATTTATACAGTTACACAAAACTAAAGATTTGTTTTGGTAAAAAAAAAAAAAACCAACAAAAAACAAAAACAGAGCACTCATTAGGTTGGAACTTTTGACTTTTGGGAAGCCAAATATTTAAAGCTCAACAATTTTAAGTGGGAATTAGTTTAGAACCACACCTGATTTTTGACATTAGAAATAATTTATCTATACCTTAAAATTTAAAGGGAGAAAAACAAGTATTTTTAAATGTGGATTGATAAATTATTTTCAAGAAATAGAAGTTTCATTAGTAAAGTCAGTTGTCTGCTAATATTTGGATGACCTCAAATCAAGAGTGAGGTGAATATACATTTGATTCATGTTTGTAATAGAGTGTTTTAGTCAAGGCAATTCTGAATGTTTATATTAAGAGAAATGCTGACTTGTAATGCTTAGAAATATAAACTTTGTCTTAAAAAAAAGAAGGAAAAGGTCTCAACCCTTTGGCAATTTGAATTTGTCAACAGGGAGAAAGATGAGCAATCTCGTCTGGTGTGATTTACAGCCCTGCAAACTCTGTGGAGAACCAGCTGTGAGTCACTGAAACCAACCTGACGTCACTGAAATGAGAACAGCTTTAAACAAAATTGAAAGTAAATCACTACATCCAACAAAAGATTGATAGTTTTCTAAAGAAACCTTTCTTTGTAAAGAAACATCTCTTTACAGAATATCAACTAATACATGCAGAATAGTGTAGTCAGAAATGACAATTTTTTTCTCAATCATAAACTAATTATTTTCATGCCGATCACAAAAAGTGCTTAAATTGTTAGATGAAAAGATGCTGAGAAATATATTCATAGATTACTTACAAGCAGTAATGGGAAATTACCCTTCTCAATGGAGAGAGTATGAAAGGCATTAACACCTTAATCAAGAGACCAAAATGAGCATCATTAATAGGCAGGATCAAAAGAGAGAAAAGACTTAAGTTGTTAATGATTTCCTCTTCTTCAGCTCCATAATGAACACCCTTGGCACCTGCATTCAGGAAATCAAAAGATGAGTTGCATTGGCAAAATCTGCTGTCAAGGACCT